AGTGTTTGTTTATTCAACACAATGAGCCACATAAATTATGACAGCTCCAACTAGAGGTGATGATACATCACAACAGCAACTTGTAGATTTCCACAAGACACACTGTACTCAGAGAGAGTAAAGGAACAACTGTCTTTATAAAAGACAAACATTTACAATCATTAAGGACACAGTCCACATTGTACCTCTGAGATTTTTTTTCTCCAAATGGATCAAAACAATTAGCTGTAGTGAGCAAAAGGAAAAATATTAAAAACTGACCTTACAACAGGTCACATTGTTCAAAATAACCACTAAATTGGTTTGATTCTTAAAATGTAAAAATTACATGGTCACTGGAAAACTGTGACATTTAACAAGCCTTTTACAGTAAAAGGATAAACATACTGATCTTTAAACAGATCATTTTTCAATACTCACACAAGTGAGGGAAAGTCCATAATGACAAAATGTCCTTAAAAGAGGACAGTTAAGATTTTTGATTAATTCAAAAATATAAATACCTATCAAGAGGTAATAAATCTCTCAACGCACAGTATTGTACCAACACATGACGTGCAGTGAGACATAAAAGTATCACAGGAAAATTGTGGCATAAAATAAAGAAAAGCATAAACATTTGGATCTAACAACAGATCAGTTTTAAGATATATTCTTGGAAAAAAAAAAGTTTCTGACCAAATGATCAGTAACAACTTAAAGATAACAAATGTTACCATACTGTGTTCCACCAATACATGAAGTACAGTGAGATATAATTATAATAATTGCTGATGCAATCAGATTTGGTTCATGCAACATGCATGATAAGAAGTTCTCTTTCTTAATTTGAAAGATATTGTTGTTGTCATTTCCTCAGGAAAACACACAAAATAAAACCTTCTGTAAAACAGAAGAACAAGTTCATCAAATGTCAGAATTCAGAAGAATTCATTTCCAGTAATCTTTGACCAATATGGTCATCTGAGTTTGTCTGGTAGTAACTCCAGTCTGTAGGTGTCTACCACGGCCTCCAGAGGGCGCTGTTGACTGGACTCTGTTGTTTGGTGATGCTGGTCTGGACTGTGGCGCTCAGAGGAGAGAAGTCAGCCTCTGTCAGGTTGTTATCAGAGGAAGACTGCAGCTTGTTGAAGTGGTTCAGCAGTCTTCTCTGGGACTGTGTCTTCACCTGCTCTTTGGACAGGAAGTGTGTCACCTGTTGGACACACCTGGAGTAGCCCTGACCGACAGCTGCTAAGTCCACAGCTTGATGCTGCTGCTGCTGCAGTTGTGTCAGGAAACACACTGTCATCTCCAGGATGTCTGCTTTCTCCAGCTTGGTGTCTGGCTGCTGTTTGAGGAACTCTGGACCCAGGAGAGACTTGAGCTGCTCAATGCTGCTGTTGATTCGCTCTCTGCGTAACTTCTCCACCAGAGGCTTTCTGAGCTGCAGGAAGAAGAACAAAGTCATTAATAAACTTA